ATCATCTTTTAATGCAAACTCATGTAACTTAGAGTTGCCTTGTGCTTGTGTGAGCCAAAAGAACGAAGGTGTGCAATTACAACAGATAGAAGGCAGCTTTTCAAGCTGCATTGTTTTCTTTGTGCACAATTACAAAAAAAAAAAAAAGAAAAAAATCCTTCAAGTAAGAGAAATAAGGGGTGGCATATCATCACTTGAAATCTGAATTGGATGAAAAAACTTGTAAGAGTAGGACTTGAGAGCTTTAGTAGAGAGGAAAATCACGGTAAGTACAAAGAACTGGGATGAAGAAGAGAGAGAAGTAAATGCATATACTGATATGGAGGAGAGCATGTTGTGCTAGTGATCAGTATCTTAAATGTAATTTTGTGACTTAGGCCTTTCTTTTTTTTAACATGAAAGCCCACTGAGTACTTAGTAATCCTATCAATATATTCAGGAGTTTCCTGGAGCATTTATGCTTATGTCCATTGACCAAAGCTAAACATGAGATCTAACTCTGTGTTTTTTCCCCTCACTGTGTGTAATATTCTGTACTGTCATATATGATTATAATCTTTTTATAAGGGCTTTTCAATCATAATATTTAATAAACAAAAATTAGATATGTAGTCTTACCATCCTCCTCCTGACTGCTTTACAAGCCAGAACTTGATTGTTATCAGTCACTCAAGATTGTCCCAGAAGTAGAATTTACTACTTTGAAATGTATTACTATTGCATAGAAAACTTTTCTGAAGTGAAGTCCAAAGCTGTAGCAGTTTTGGATGGGATTTGTGTACTTTTAGAGACTGCTGATATCTTTAAATGCAGCCTCTTGTTAGCATCAGTATGACATATAGTTAAAAAAAGTGAATTTTTTTGTTTTGGTTTGGGGGGGACGGATGGACATCATCTTCAGGTCAACTAGGACGAAGGAAGTTACTCTCGCATGGAAGCTGTCCACTTAAACAGACCTCTTTATTTGCTTAAAAGTAAGCTTGTACTTAAAGGTATTGCTGAGCTGAGGGAGACCCAAGTGTTCTGTAAACTGAGCTCCATAGCATCCCAGTGAGGCTGGTGACTGTTTTTCTTGTGTTATAGCCTTGGCACCCAAATGAACTGTGACTCTCACAGCAAGCTAATGACAGATGCATGATTAAAATCCAGGTCTCTACTTTTGATCTCTTTTGCAAATTATAAAAGCTTTCCTTTCTGAAAGGGTTGAAATGAGAAGCATAGTAAAAATTCCATTCAGGTTGCCCATTTTAGGATGCGTGCAGTGTTTTCTAGTGTGCTGTCTTGGATCCTCTGTATTTGAAACATTGGTAGATGCAGTTGTATAAAAAGAAACAATTGGTTTCTGTATAACTTCCTCCGGCTGAACATTCTGCTCATTTTAACAATGAAGGAAAACCAGAATAGAGTTCTCCAAACTGTAAATGATTTCTAAAGAATAACTATGACAAAAGGAAACAAAAGGGAAAAAAACTGAAGTCACTGGAAGTGTTAGACATCACTTTAGCTATAAGGACATAAGCAAAAATCTGAATTGTGTGGAAGGGAATAGCATTACTTCTGCAAAAGGATGACATGTGAATTCATTTAATATTCCAGCAGAGGGATGCTCACAAGTACCTAGTGAGCTGTGGTATCCAAAACGTTATACCTGAATGTATTGGGAGCCTCACTGGTATTGGTGAGCTGGAAGTACATGTTTATATGTAACCCTGACTAAAAACTGTAGTGAATAATGGATTTGCAAAAATTGTATAATATTCTGTTGAAGGGTGAAGGCCAGGAGTTTTGAAAATACCAGCATAGCAGCCTGTTTAAATGGTGTAGCAAAAATATTACAGTAGCAGATTTGCATTGTATTTTGTACAACTTTGATAGCAGTGTTAATCAGTTGAACATCGCGCAAGAACTTGACTTTTACTGAAATCACACTGAAACAAGCTGCAAAGTGAAATACACAAATCACTCTATATAATACAGTGGAATTGTAAGAGTGGACTCCTGCTTGTCTGGGACTGCATCATCAAGAGAAGATACCCAAATCATGGAGCTTCTTTGAGAGCTCCCACTTCCATGGGTTTAAGAGATCCTGGTGACAGGAGCCAGCCCTCTCTGATTTTCTTAATTGCAAATGGCCTCATGGATACTTTGTTTTCTATACCTGAAAGAAGATGCAACCTTTTTGGTATTTTTAAAGGAGCATAGTGTAGGCGTGGGTGTAGAAGTGGCGAACCTTGGTTGTGGGTGGAAAAAGTAAAGTGGTATGTGGAAAAACTCAGGTGAATGTGAGTTTGCAAGGAATGTGGCATTTAAATAGTTCAAACAGATTTTTTTTTTCCCATATTATACTCAAACTGTATTTGCAGAGCCAAGTAACTGCACTATTCTCTAGGGTGCTACTGGTTATACAGCTACTATTGCACTTGCATTTGTGTGGTACTATCTGAAAACTTCCACAGAGTGGAAGGGAACAAAGTAGTTAGTAACTTGAGTCAAATTATCAGCGTGTCTCAATTTAAAAGAAAAGCCAGTAGCTGCTATTAAGGATAAAGATGATCATCTCTTTCAACTAGAGAATTTCAAATGACATAGGAAGAGGGAAGGAAGTGTGGAAATAGTTACTCCTGTTGTAATGAAAAACTATATGGTAAATTTTTGATTGTACTAAAATGAAGCAACACAACCATAACAAGATATTTTTAGTTTGTAATGGGGAAGATGTTGATTCTGCAGGCTGCTTTCCACCCATCCCTGGGGTGACCAGTGTCTGCACTTGAATAGGATTCTTAGAAAACTTTTACAGTTAGCGAAATGATGCTTGCAAATGAGGCTTAATGTTTTGTAACATATAAAACAAAATATGCTTGAAACATCAGTGCTTTCTGTGTCTGCTGTAATGAATGGCTTTCAATTAGCATTACTTCTTCCTTTAAAGTGGCAGCAGCATTAAGAAGAAGCCTTAGTAGATAAAACTGTGACATAACCATTCCAGATTTAATTTATATTGCTGAGCAGTTAAGACTTATTAACTCTGTTTCACATTGTAGTCAGTGCTGTATATAAATGCTGCATCTGAAAACTTTTTAAGCAAATTTAAGAAATTTGGTATCCAAAACATGAACATTCTCACTGCTGGGTCAGATCTTTTATTTAAAAAAAAGTTTGATATCTGGTTCAGTTAGACATGAATGTTGCCTTTGAATTACTTGAAAAGCTCCTTCTCTATTAAGCTTTTAACATTGCTTCTAAAACATAAGTGATTGAGATTTTACTTTTGGAAGATGTTTAGTTGAGTTTAAAAGCACTTATGGTGAAAGAAAGCTATTACACAGTGCTCATAAAATGTTGGACAGTTAAGATTGAGAGCAGAGGATTAGGTTTATGGAATAAATTCTCAAAGCATAGAAGAGAGAATGGTGAAAATCAATTTGCTGCGAGGAACAGGTGCAAGGAGCACTGGATAGCTGCTGGGGGATTTGGTGTAATTTTTGCACTCTGGGCTGGCTACTCCAGTTAATGTTACAATGCCTCTATCTTCACTGTGCATACATCTGGAGTTGCATTGTCCCCCTTGAAAGGGTAATCCAGCCTGTTCAGTAACAACAACCCCGCTTGCCTTGAAACAGTGAAGTATCAGATTTTGCAGCGTGCAAGACAAAAGGTTCCTTTGCTACTTCTCAGAATAAGATTACAGTTGTCAGGTTTCTCCTTCACCAGTGTGCCTGGCACTTCAGAGTATAGCTTTAGACTTCCCTTTGTTAATGAAAGAGAAAGAGGATCTTTATGGCCTTTCCTCTTTGGTAGTTTTTATTTTTATGATTCATTTTGCTATTTAATACACATGACTTCTGCTTAAAGCCCTTCCAGGATTTAGTTAGGAGATCAGGTTTCAGTTAGCTGAAACTTGAGAACGAGCCATCCCTAAGAAAAGCTTAATAAAAAAAAAAAAAAAATACATGCCAGCTTTGTGTCTTACAATACAATGCAATTGGACAGAAAGCTTGAGGAAATGATTGTATGCAGTTTTATATCTCTTAAAGTAAATCAGGAAAGTGTGATAGGTTAAAGCTGTTGGCCAGAATGAGTTGGGGAGTAACTTTTTTAGTAGGTTTTTCTCCCTGGTTGCTCCAGAAAAAGATGGAATCAGAATACTAGTAATTGAAATAAAAATAGTGCTCTATTCCGGGTGATAAGTACAAAGATCTGGAATGGTCATGTTGCTTCCAGACTGTGTGTCCAAACCCAAGCATCTCAGCAAGGAGACAAACAGTGAGGCTTGCTGAGCAAGGATACATTTGACTTGCTCACAGGATCATTCCAGACGCACCTTTATTGGCAACTAAATCCTGCTGCAAGTAAATTGGAGCTTGCAGGCTCCTCCACTAATTAAAAGTTGCATCAGAGTAGAAAAGTGAATATAAAGTTGTGTCTGGTACTTTATTAAATGCTTTTTAGTGCTTCCAATACAAAATTAAGACTTCTCTTTCAGTTGCTTCTTTTCAATAGAAGAAAACAATGAGGAGTTTGTTCAGCTTCTGCACACAGAAGAAATACATTTAGGCATTCTTTGCATAGCTGTGGGCTGGAGGGGGTTGCTGGCTTTCTCGTTGTTCAGCAAGTCATTTCTTAATCGCACAATACAAATTAACTGTCAAAACATTCAATTTAAAATACCTACTGGAAACGTTGAGAAATGATCTGTGCTCTACTGGGTCCCTATACCATATTCTTCTGATTTTAATTTTGTTAATGACATTTTATGTACTGTTTTTTTGCACTGTTATACCATGGTGAATGACCAGTAGCTACTGTGTGACTGGTACTGCATAAATAGTCACGTTAAGGAGAATGCATGTGACTTGAAATTGATGTTTTTTCTGGTGTAGTATACTCTCTGTTCTGAAAGCCTGTCTCTTTTTTTTTCTTTTCTTTTCTTTTTTCTTTTCTTTTCTTTTCTGTCTTTCTCCTCACTCTGTGTGTGTGCATGTTCCAGTGACTATAACATGCAAGACACTGATCCCAGGGGGAGTTCCCCCGCTTTTCTTCAGCCTCAAAGTGGGAGCAGTCACAGGTCATCTGGGTATGTTCCAGGGAGGATTGCCCCTCTTCGCCCCCCACCGCCTTCACAGAGCCACACTTCAGCCGAATTTACCTCCGCCAGACAAGAAGCCCGGACAACCTTTGCGTCCTTGCCAGTGGAGCAGCGCCACCACCAGGCAGAAGCCAACCAACATAAAAATACTCTCATTTGCTTTGCCGTTTCTAGCTTTTCACTTTTTGTTGCATTGGGGATTTTTTGGGGAATAGCTTCAAAATATGCTCCAGATGGTAAGTTCTTATGCAAACAAACTCTTCCTAGAAGTCAAAGTCCCTGTGAATGTAATTTAATAATTCAGCATCAGAATAGTGTTAGAGGTTTAGTGCAAAAATGTGATATTCAACTCCTTTTTCTGTTATCAGTGTCACTTTTTTTTGCATGTTTTTATTATGACTAATTTGATTTACTTGAAGGAAAAAGGTATAGCAATAAATAAAGACAACTAGTGGGGGGAAAAAGCATGCATTGAATAGGTGTAATTATTTTTTATGTAGAAGAAACTGATATTTTCACAAATTGCAGACAAAATGAAATATTGTCTGTTTGAGCAGTAACTAAGGAAGGTAGCAAAAAAAACATTCAAGTAGAACATTTAAAAAAAAAAAACTGTAATAATTTACACTGTGAGTATGTGTTTGCTTTGTTTTTAAACAAATTGGACAGGCAGCTCTTTGTCCAGACTTCCAAGATCAGCTAAAAATCTGGGCTGATACAATGTGCAGGGAATTTGGAGGAAAAAAACAACAAATGTACCAGTGGTGAAAAAGCATGAAAAGATGATCTGGTTAATTGCTGACCATTAGCATCCCTCTGGTAAAATACTGCTAAGGCTTATTATGAGATGTAATTGGTAAAGGTTGGTAGTATATTTTGGAGAGTGAGTTAGAGGGTGTGTGTGTGTGTTTCATGCAGAATCAGGTTTCTAAAAACTAGATAAATTTTTGAAACTGGTTGACAATGAGTATTGTGACACAACAGGCTTAGCCTCTTGAATGGCTTTTGACACAATAATACCAAAGATTCTGTTTCCAAAGTCAATGCAATGCATACTGAACAAATTAGATAATTAATTGAAGATTTCAGGTAGCATTATTAAATGGATGCACACATCTTACTGGAATACTCTTGGTGGTAGGTTGCAGAGATCTTTTCTTGGGTGAAGTTATGAAATTTTTATTTTCTTAACAATTGTGCAGGAAAACAGCAAACTGAGGAAGTAGTAAATGGCAGGTTAGTGCTACACTGTGACCTAAATCACTGGTAATATGAGTACAGATTTGCAGTGAGCACTTCAGTACAGCCACATGCAAGAGAGAGTTCAAGGTGATTTGGTCAGTTGACTGAGAAGTACCCTGGGAAGAAAACCTTCCAGCATTCATATCAAGACATTAAAGCTTGCTATTGCTAGTTAACTACAAGTTGCAAGTTTTGATGGATGTTTTAGTAAAAGAGGTGAGGTTTTATTACGCAGCCAACAGAGGCAGCAAACAGACGCAGCAGTGTCTGGGCTCTGCCTGGGCCTTTTGTGGGCCTTGTTGGGAGTTGTGGAGACTTTCTGGGGACCCCCGAGGAACTAGACGGTGCTTGCTGCTAGCAGGAAGGGAGAGCTAGGCAAGGACTCCTGCAGGGGGCCTTGACTTAACTTCTCCTGGGAAGTCCTAGCTAGGTGGGGCTGCTGCTAAGGAGCTCTCTGGGCTGCCCTGGTCAGAGGGAGTTGGGGCTTTTGTTTCAGGTGGCTCCTGATTGGGTGGGTCAAGCACCCTTGTGAGTCACTGCTAGGCAGAGGCCTAGATAAGAGCCAGGCCTAGAGCACAGCTCCCAGATGCAGCAGTTTGTGCAGAAGGGGTGCCAGAAGGCAAAGAAGGCACCTCTCCATTTTGCACAGTGGTGTGTCCTTCCCCGGGGCATGGTCATGACACGCCGCAGAGCACGTTCCCCAGTGGCTGCGGGAGGT